GTCCACAGCATGTTCCCCTTTTTCGAAACAGGTTAATTCATCCATTTTCGTAGCAAGGGTAATGATGGTCTTACGTTGCTTCTTCACAACACTAGCATCAGTAGCACTTGATGGGTGCTTGGAAGCAATTTCGAATGGTTAGAATACAGTTTTAGAGCAAAAGCATTTAAGCACACGAATGATGTGAAGTCGTAACAGAGACTGGCTTGGGGACGCTGTGACGTTCCGCAAGTGAGAGGTACGTAGCGCGCCGAACCAAGAGAGCATAGTGTAGCCAGACAAGAGAGGGTGATGCATCGTAAAAAGTAGTCCGTGACGAAGTAAAACGACATTGTACCGAGTCATCGGGATGTTAAACGAATTTTGGGTATCCAAAGATTAGCTACGTACTGTAGTACCGAAACAATGTTAAGCGGGCCGACGTTATACCAGGACTTACTGTATTCCTCTTTTTTTTTCAATTTATCAGCCATATTTTTATATATCAATTTTTATATTTTACCAATATAAAGCATTTTTTTTATCTTAACAATTATTGTCTTTACTTGGATGTTTGTTGGCTAAAATACAAATTGATTGTATTAAAAACTGTAAAGCATGACTTCACATTGTTAAAATTATTGTCTTTTATCTTTTTTCTTGTTTCATGTGAAAGAGCAATCAATTGTATGTACAGGTATATACAAGTATTAGTGATATCCCCGTTAGCCATAATAATTGATGCAGAGCACTTCCGAGGATGAGAGATTTCCAGATAACCAGGCAACTCGACTACAAACACAGCTGCCACAAGATTCTTACATCAAGTTTTCTTAATCTTTTACGCAAATATACCAACATTTGGAAACTTATAGTGATCTAAAATAATGATGAATAGTTTATTAAAAAATGGCTACCTTTAGTTTGTTTAAGATTTATCCTGACAGTGATGCAGCTGAAAATAGATCCACCAATCACAATCACCTTTACATACAGCCTTACTTTACCAAGTATTGCCAGGTAAAATTGCAAACATGAGAACCAGGGTGGGGTCAGAGCATCTTTGGTTGACTGTACATTTTTTTATGCATGTTCTCCATCAACACACGTACTGTATTGCCTTTTTCATTTTTATCATGGCCCAGTCATGAATTACAAGGGAAACTTTGGCACTTTTGGGGCATTTGAAGCAATATTTTCCCTTCTCACTTTTCCTTTCCTTTTAAGGGAGTGAACAGTGTACAGGTACTGGTTCATGTCAAACACCCTTCTCACAGCTGCAGCAGTCATTACTCATAAGTTTATCTAACAATTCAACACTGTGCTCTAGTCATAACTAATTTAACACCACCTCTTGCTTTTCCTTTAGAAGTTACGGGTACAGCATAAATGAGCAAAAGTTAAAATGCAAGGTATAATGGGTGTGTTGGGTACAACAGTGGAACAGTGAGGAAGACAAAGGGTAACATAGGATGCTGAGGTGTAGGATGCAAGAACTGACATGAGAGGGGCTAACCACACCCTGCAAAATACAGTGTACTTAGCAAATGCTGCAGCTTCTGAGAATGGGAGGGGGGGGGGTTTACTACTAAGAGCAGAGACGTTACCGAGAACAAATTCGGGCTTGAATGTCATGTACACTAATACTGACACGTTCCTTGATAAGAGAGAGGAGTTTGAATCACTACTGAAGGTACACCAACCAGATATTGTAGGAGTCGTCGAACTGTTGTACAAGAACAGGAGAATCGATCGACCCAGAGGAATGCAAGTTCAGTATTGCTGGATATGACTCATTTACGAACCTTCTCAAGAAACTTGCAAGAGGGGTGTGGTTATCTATGCTAGGCAAGACCTTGGGGCCAGCCAGGCGAGGGTACAGGGAGAGGATATTTTTGAAGAGTCCAAGTGGTGTAAAATTAAACTAAAGGAAAGGGACTTACTTATTGTCAGGTGTATCTACAGATCCCCAAACTGTGGCCCACTAAATCAAAGGAACTTAAGAGCCTTAATAGACAATGCGGCGATGCTCAACCCTAGCCACCTCCTTATCATGGGGGACTTCAACTATGGCGACATCGACTGGAGAAACGAGTTCACCCCAAATGACTTGAATAACCCTGCTACTCTTTTTGTAGAAACTCTGAGAGATAATTTTCTGTTCCAACATGTTAGAGACCCAACCCTTTACAGAGGGGAGCAAACACCCAAGCCACTAGACCTCATCATAACAAACGACGAGGGTATGGTGGCCAAAGTGGAACACCTTGCCCCAGTTACCATATAGTGTTGTCATTCAGAAATAACTGTTACCTATTTCAAGATAAGGCCAGGCCAAGGTGCAAATATTACAGGGGAAATTACAACGGGTTGTGGAAAGAGATGAGGGGTATCCACTGGCCTGAGTCATTAAGGCACAAGAACGCAGACACTACGCTAAATATCATAACTAGTAAAGTGACCCAGTGCCTCTAGGAATACGAGGGGATCCCTACACATGAACCATGCGGCGGTCGACAAAGTTAAGAAGAAAACCCAGAAATTCAAGACGTGGGTTGGGTCAAATGATAAGCAGGACAGGGGGATGTATGCAAGAGCCAGAAACCATGCAAAGATAGAATGTAGAAGAGCTGAAAAGGAGTTCCAGAGGCTGGTTGCAAGCGAGGTCATGTCAAACCCAAGGGCGTTTTACCGCTATGCAAAGTCAAAATTTAAAACACGAGTAAGAGAATCAGACCTGAGGCTTGAAGATGGTAGTTACGCAGATTCTGACCAGGATAAAGCTGAGGCATTGAACAGCTTCAGCTTCTTTTCCTCGGTGTTCACAAGAGAATGCGATTAACCTTCCTGTGTTTGAGGACACAGCACTGACCCACATTGTGTTCACAGAAGAGGGTATTAGAAATAAACTGTAAAAGCTAAAGGTCCATAAGAGTCCCGGCCCCGACATGGTGCATCGTAGAGTGCTAAGAGAGTTGAGCAACGAGCTTGCCGAGCCCCTGAAGATCCTGTTTTGTAAATGCCTGGATGAACGAAAGATCCCCAGTGAATGGAAAGTGGCTTATGCGAGTCCTATCTTCAAGAAGGGCGATAGTCACTCCACGAACAACTATAGACCGGTGAGCCTGACCAGCATAATATGTAAAGTACTTGAGAGTATTAGCAGAGATGCCGCGATGGAACATCTCCTACGAAACAACCTTGTAAAGGATTGCCAACACGGTTTTATGCCGGGGCGCTCCTGCTTAACACAATTGCTCAAGGTATTGGATATTTGGACCCATATTCTGGAACAGGGTGGTAATATCGACAATATTTACCTAGATTTTGCCAAGGCTTTCGACAGTGTACCCCACAAACGGCTGATAATCAAACTGGAAGGGTACGGAATTTGGGGAAATGTCCTAGCATGGATAGGAGACTTTCTACATGACCGTAAGCAGTGTGTGGTGATTAATGGCACGAAATCATCATCCGTACCTGTCACAGGCGGGGTACCACAGGGCAGTGTATTGGGCCCGCTGTTGTTTGTGTTTCATAAATGACATGCCTAACGTTGTACACTCCTCCATACAAATGTTTGCCAATGACGCCAAGTTATTTCGAGAATCAAGAGGACTGTGAAGAGCTGCAGAAGGACCTCTGTGGGCTCCAAGAATGGTCGAAGAAATGGCTGCTGAGATTCAATGTCACGAAGTGTAAGAGGATGCACCTGGAGTGTACCAACGGTATGGAGGCGTATCATATGTCCCAACGGGATAAAGAAACTGCACTATTTGAGACTGAATGTGAGAAGGACCTAGGTGTGTATGTTAACAATGAGCTGAAGTTCTCGGGCCATTGCGAGAAGAAGGTAAATTAGGCAAATAAATTATTGGGTCTTATAAGAAGGTCGTTCAGATATCTAGACGGTCCGTCCCTCGTAATGATCTTGAAGAGTGAAGTGCTTCCCCATTTGGAGTACTGTCACCCCGTCTGGTCCCAGAGATATGCTAGGGACTGTCAGTTGGTTGAAAATGTTCAAAGGAGGGCCACCAGACTGGTGCCTGCCCTTTTGCACCTCAGCTACCGAGAGATTGGAGCGCGTGAACTTGCCTAGCTTATACTATAGACGGGCAAGGGGTGACCTAATTGAGGTGTATAAGCATCTCAAGGGACACTACTCAGTCGAGTGTCCTTACTTGGACCTGGCGGACGCTCGGCACACAAGGGGTCACAGGTCATGCATGAAGAAATTGCAAGTCCAGAAAACTATGAGGGCAAATTTTTTCGGAGTGAGAGTTGTAAACTCTTGGAATAATCTACCAGAAAGTGTTGTGACGGCATCGAGTGTGAGCTCTTTTAAGACAAGACTTGACCAACACTGGAGCGGGTTCAGGTACATTTAGGAGCCGGTGCATGCTCAGTACTTGCCAACAGTGTGTAACAGAGACGTGACCGATCGCCCAAGCGGCTAACGAGCCGATCTTTTGGTGAAGAGGATAAAAGAAAAGGAAAAGTAATCAGAGACGTGACTGATTGCCCAGGCGGCTAACGAGCCGATCAGTGGTGAAGAGGATAAAAGTAAGTAAAAAGTAAGACACCCTGGCTGGCACTACTACTTGTGTTGTACTGTAGCCAGAGAAGCTTCCACAAGTTTCAATTACTTTTGAGATGCAGCCATACAGAATGGTGACTGACTGCAAATACTTATAACTTTGAATGGCAAAACTGCAAATAACAAGGGATTGATGTGTCGTAATAGTATATAAGTAAATGTATTACACACATGACTACCCAAGATCAATGGAACAGCCTACCAGCTCAAACTGTGGAAACCTGAACTGTAATGGGCTTAAAAATAGCCCTAGACCAAACTATCAAGAACAATGAAGGGATCTTACACAGGCCACTGGCTTCCTTCCCTTGGCATGGCTGCCTCTAGTGGGTAGCCATTAGGTAAATTAATGTAAATAGAGTTACTAATACAAATAGGGTCTAAACACAACATACTGTACATAAAAAGAAATGGAAATGACACCTTTCATGTATATGAATTAGCTTTATTTAAGTCTTACATTAAATCAACACAAAAAAAAATTTACTTGAAAATTGTTGTATCAAAACATGAGTATCAATATCTAGAAATACTTCCTAGGGAAAAACTTTTTAAAATGAACATTATGACATTTACAATGTAAGGATGACATGAAGTCTTGACAAAATAAGTATGATTCAAACTTCCATTACCAGTAAAAACAATTATTCAAGGTATGTATGACAGGATACAGAATTTTAGCATGCAGTGCTGTAACAGATTAGGAAATATAAAAATGTATAACCATTGCAGAAATACATATTTGTTTGTAAAATGAATAGGTAGATAATGATAATTCTATGTATTTCTAAGAAATCTGTATTTTTATAAACACTTTCATGATACAATATTCATCTTTGCATGGGGCATTGTAATGCACTTTATGCAAAAATCAAATACTGTAATGTATTCAGACAAAAAAGAAATATCAAATCAATCTCACAGGCAAATCTAAAATGTATAATTGGACAATGTTGTTAATGTTTCATGGTCCAGAATAGTATTAACCTTCCATGACTTAGATTTAGCTTCTTCAACCCTTTCATGAGGCAGTGTGTAGATCATGTAATGTACCTTGAAGACCAAGAAATATAAGTTGGCAAGTAGATCTACTGTCCCTGTTCCACCATAATTAATTTATGGATTTGATAGCTGTGTACAGTATTCTGTAAAAGCCATAGGGCTGTAAGACATATGTGTGTGCCTACAAAATTTATCTTACCACCCTCAGTTCAGTTTAGTAGTATTCAACTTTGTCGATGTTCAAGGTCACATGTAGGTTCACTCGCCATGGAGGTTGCATTGTTATTAGCTACAAGTGAAAACAAATGATGATTACAATAATTCAAAAGATGAAAATAAGAGATTACCTGTAGAAACTACAGAATAAAATATTAAACTACCTATAGAAAATAAATTCTCATTTTGCAACCTATCACTCCACTCAAATCCTCTGTCATGATTCATCCTCAGAATTCCTACGATCTATACAAAGTTCTGGGTGCTAAACTGATTCCGAGTATTAATTTCTTTCTCTGATATTTTCTCATATTAAAATGTCTGTTTTTCTTAAACTCATGAGTGGATAAAACCTTGATGTATTAACTCACTCATGAAAGGGTTAAACCATCCCAATACTGTATTTCCAGGAAGGAACAAAAGCTTAGGGCATCTTTTCAGGTACATTTCATAAATAATATACATATATTCATGTACTTCATCCCAATCCACAATAGCGTTTAGCCAAATTAAATGTGTTAATGTTCTTGAATAATTAATGTGAGGGCATGCACCACTAACCATTAACAAATTAATATAGACTCAATTTAAACTACTGTACTCAGAAGCTACCTAATAAAAGAAAAATATTTCTCTGTATTGTTGACAAATGTTTTAAGTCATACATGATACAAAGTAGGCTTTTAACAGTTATATGGACTGTGAAGCCAGAACTGGTGCCATACAATAGAGACCCTCTGCAGCAAAAATGCAGAGCATGTGTGGGTAACTATATTACATGAAAACAATAAAGTATTACAACCAAGTGAGTCTTCTTCAAGCTCATCTGTTGCATAAATCCTTTTACTCGTCTCATTCCTAATAGTTTCAAAATATATCTCGGAGAACCAATGTTAAAATGAATAAAAATCAAAGATGACAAGTGAAGAAAATATACAGTAGAACCTCTCTATATCGGACACTCAATATATTGGAAAATGACTTTATTACCCATCAGACTGAGATGCTGTATAGGAACAGATCCAAGGGGGCCTGGACCCCCCCCCCCCTTTTCATAAAAAAATGCAGTATTGTACTCCGACATTTCTATTGACCACAGAATATCTAATATCAAGTGCACATGGCCTCAAAATGCCCATGATATTGGTCAGCTGGGTGGGCTCACTGTGTTTGCCATGTTCTCTCACCCACAACTTCTTGGACCCCCCCCCCTTGATATTCTTGGATCCGCCCCTGCTGTATATCTTAATGAATCCGACATGTCTGATGCTAGTCCGATCACCATCCATACTGGTTTCTACATGTTGGCATTCATACCCCTGGACTTTGTCTCATAGTAAATAACAAAATGGCATATTACTATAAAGTACAGTATACTATTGTCAGAGGTGGCCTACTGTATAAGTAAATTGACTTCGTTACCGAGCTTGTATGATATTTTTGAACTGACTCCGAAATGTGTGTGTTTGTGTGTGTATGCCGCCACATTGAGGAGAGAGAGTGTGGGACGGGTGAGTGGCTGGCAAGTCGGCGACGCAGTGGGAGCCCAGTGTAACACATTTGTTCACTTCACACACATACACACCCAAACTCATTTTTCTCATTTTATAGTTTTATATTATATTTTCTTTATTTCTAAGCAACATTAGAGTACAGTATTGTAATGACTATTCCACCACTTTAATAGTTTCATTACATGTAAGAATGGCAACATGCCGTCTCACAGGCCACTTCATCCCCAGTTTTCCCCTACCCAGTGAGTCAAGCTATTGCTGAACTGAATTTTTACCTAACATTAATTATTGCATGATCCTGTAGGCACATCCAGGTATCCGAACCATCATTGGTCCCGATGAGTTCGGATAAAAGGAAATTGCACTGTACTGTCTTAATTCTTAAAACAAAAGTTGTTGCATTAGTATTTTTACTCAGAGGACTTGAGTACTTTATTAGTTAGTTTTTTGTTTTACTTTTACTGTACTTCTACTTCTACTTGCTTAAGTTACTGTATTATCAAAGTAACAGTAATTTACTCAAGTAACTTTTCCCAAGGCATCATATCTGGGACTTATCCTTTGTATTAAACGAGTGACTTCTGTTTCTGGTAATTTCTATCCTGTGCTTTTTTTTCATATCCATGGAGGTGTTGTGGTAATGGCAGTCTGACACAGACAAATGGGCAATCCCCTATCAGTTGGTCAGTGATGTGGGTTGTGCATAGTTTAAGAGAAGAGGTACACATGGAAATTTAAAATTTACAAATGAAAAACAAAACAGAAATGATGTTATGCCAAGACATACTTTAAATTATTATTTTTTTTAGATTTAAAAAAAAAAGAAGCCTGAAGTGATGTAAAACATCAAGAATTACTTTGAACAAAGTTCTTTTATTTTTGGGGGAAAATCAAATTGAATCAACCCTGTTTGTAACAGTAGTACATGAAGTAACAACAGAAACAGTAACTAAAACTTCAGTTAGCTGGAGTCAGGATTTATATCCTGTGTAGGTCTGGTATTGGCTGGTTTAAGGCTATCATCTCATATTTTAGACTGTGTCTGATATGTCCAGTAAAAGGTTCAGTACAAGTAATGGATTTATCAGAAAAATGGTTTCATTGGACTAGCCTCCCCCGATTAGTCCGATATAGCAAATTCTATTGTATTCACAAATAATTTGTAGTAAACTATATTACAAAAAGAAAAACTTACTCTATTCTGACTTGTATTTCACGAACCAACATTCTGGCTAGTCAGAAGAGACCAAAAATACTTGGTCAGTAATAGTACATGAAGGAAGCCATTTCATTCACCAGTTAACAGCAGTCTGTGGCTTTATTAACAAAAAGATAAATGTTAAGAAACCTGAGAGTCATATTACTGCAATAAGCTCTCAAAGTTGTGTAACCAAAAGGCTTCTAATGCCATCTCCTCTGTTAAAAAAGTTAGCATAAAAAAAAATTCATTACCAATACATCACAAAATAACCCTCAACCATCTTGAACCCAGCACTGAGAACGGTAGTCAATGGCAAATCTATTTGCCTCTAAATAAATCTGATACTACAAATCTCAATGTGGCTTCCACAGGAAGGTTGGTACTTCTGAGTATAATATTGCAAAAATCAAGTTCATTTTACTTAGTAAAGATTTCTGAGAAAGGGTAAACATACAACAGACAATAAAATATCTTACTTGAGCTTCATCATTCATGACAAAAATACCACTGGCTACTTTTCCCCACAGGACAGTACCGGCCTAGGCTTGAGGGCAAATATTTCAGGTAAGGAAAGATTCAAATAGGAGGGTCACAACTGTAGAAGGTGATGGTGGTAAGAGCCACCAGTTTGCTGCTGAAACACCTCAATTGTGTCACCATCCTCCATCTCCAGGCCTTGTGGGGTGTCATTCTCTGATATTGGTTGACCGTCAAATCTAAATCTTACAGTAGTCTGAACAAGTTTCTGAAACATAATAAAGAAAATCATGACAAATGATTCAGGAGTGGGATTAATGGTAAGTATATCTTAGACCTACATAATCCTGTGAATAATAAATATACTACTGCACTTCCATCAGAAGAAAAACACCTACAGATGTAAAGAATACTGTCTGTATAAAATGAAACAAAGCAGGAAGATTTTAATAATACAACAAATACTATCACTCAAAAACAGAACCAAAAAAGCAATGGGTATAGCTGAAAATATGACTGGCGTTGTCTAGAGTACTAGAGGGGGATCATGGATGAAGAGTTTATGAAATCACTTAAAAACAAAAATGTGATAAAATACCAAGAAAAAATAGAGGCGACAATGAGTTAGAGACAGGTGATAACCAAATCACTTTTCTAGACTGTTACCTGTAGTAGTACAGAATGAATGTAAAACAAAAGATTGGTACAGTACCATCAATGATTCACTAATGAGCAAAATGAAGTTAGATGAGTAAGGGGTAACTAGAACAAATTTGTATGGCAAATTGTCTCTACTAACGGGGGGAGGGGGAGATTAACTTATTTACAATTATGCAATAAAAAACAGGATGAAATGGAAGTTTGAAATAGAAAATCCCTTCTCTGTGTCTTTGATATAGATAGTAAACACAAACAACTCAACAATATTGAGAAATACTTTAAAGAAGACTACAACTATTTCTTTAAATTGGATTCTTGAGAATCTTAATATTAATTTTCATATTGTGTATACAATGTGATTTTTAAGGTTGGATTTGTCATTATATTTCCAGCTTGAGGGGCATAATGGCCAACAATCATGAAGTCTCACCTGGATTCAAAATACAGTACAGTACTGATATACCAAAACATATCATGGCCACAATGTATGGTAAAAATCACATTTGGCAACTTACTGATCTCTCACAGTAGGCATTGATGAGCTTTTTGAGAGACGTATGTTTCTTGATCTTAAAGTGCACAACCTGGCCATCCTGACCAACTACTTTAAGGTTGATGTGTTCTGTTGGCTTCTCCTCCTTCTGAAATTATTTGTAAAATAGGACAAATAATAAAGATACTGTATAGGATAAATGAAGAAAATATTGTATAAGACTTCTTTAGAAACCGAAATCTACAAGAATTATCCTCAAACTATGAAAGTACACCTGCCAGTATTTTAAAACTTCTCTTATCTCAACATTTCTGATAACAACTGGGTTACCAGAGCTGTGCCCATCCCCTGGTCTCTGCTGCACTTTCTGGGCTGGCATCCTAGGTTTGCAGTGGTGAGTGGAGTGGGGACATGTTAGTCTGGTTTTACCCAACAGCTGCCATCAAGTAATCATGGCTAACCTACACAAGTGTGGAAAATGGCCGTTAAATGTTAATGATGATGACGAGGTATTTTTTTTATGAATTAAAAAAACAAAACAAAAAACATAGTTCACCTTTTTCATTTACCAGGTACTTATTTGCATTAATTTCATAATCAACTCAAGTACCATAACAAGCTTCATTATGCTTGGGACAAAAGCATTAAAAATAACTGAATATGGAAAAGTTTCGAAAAGATGATTTCTTTCACAAATACTATACTGAACAGTACAAGTAAACGAAATTCTATTAGGTGATTCAAAAGAATAGATACAAATGTGAAGGAATAAATTTGGAAGAGCAAGTAGAGTACAATAAAAGATAATTTGGGAAAGTTATCAAATGTACAGATAAACTGAAGAATTTATCTAAAATCCCAGAGAAGGGTGTCTGTACATTGTTCACTTGGTCAACAGACACGGATTAATAGGGCGGCTGGAGCTATGAGGCACGGGGTGCCCTTATGCACACAGTACTAAGTGGGTTTTTTTTGCTTATTATATGACACCTATCATCACTCTCATTACACTAATCCATGTCAATTTTTTGTAATTCCCTAAATGCTAAGACTTTAACCAAGTCACCAGCTCTGTAAGGTAATTTTGGCTGTATAATTTTTTATGTTCCTTTATGAGTTTTACAGGTATGTTAGTACAGTACAGTACCTGAATGTGTAGGCAATGATGTGTACATGCACGAAGTCCCCCCCGGTGGGGAGACTGAGTCACAGGAATGAGCCTGTAATATTACTTACCCTGACTGTCACTTGTACACCATTACCACGGCCAATCTGCAACCTTAATACAATACAGTACCAGTATATACTTAGCTATCCCTAATTTTGCAGAAAATGTTATAACATTACCAAAAAGTGTGAATGCAATTAGTCACTTTAAAAAGTTTACAAAGTGACCACAATCAGACTGGTGAGACAGTTGTTTGAGACCATGGCATTACATATTTACAAAAGATGACACAAGCAATCTTAACCTAACCATGCTTGAAAGTGACCAATCTATGACATCAGCATCATCAGCCACGGCCAATAATAATGATTGCCAGACAAATAGCAGAAGCAGGTAAAGGTCCATGACCTGACAAATAACCACTTCATTATGATTTATGTCTATAACCATTCCATGGGTTTAACAATGGTCTGGTTTCTTTGGAAAAGCAAAGAAAAAACATGTGATTACAGTATGAATCAGATTAATTGTGCGCCTTAAATACCTACTGTAAGATACTTCCCCGTACTATAACATACCCTGTAAATGCTTTCTCACCATGAAATTGACAAAAAGTGCAAGTGCAATATATTTTGTGTACTGTAATATAAATTTTATGATTTTTTCTACTGAAAATAAATTTAGGAGTGTTTTGTCTGATCTTCGACACAGCCACGACTCCCTCTCCACTTCCTTCAAGGCTGGATCGGTCCTTTCATAAAAGTGACTTTTTTGGTAATGTCTAAGAACAGCACTACCACTAGAAGGAGTTGTTCGATTTCTTTCCTTTTCTCCACATTTACTAGAATCTAATAGAACCTGATGTAACCAACCAAAGAAACTTACCTAACCTTACTTAACTCCTTAGCCAGGGGGCTCTGCCTCCTGGACCCCCAGCCATATTAAACAGAAAGTACTTACTTTAATATCTGGTATCAATGAAAGCAACATTGTTGAAGTGCCATGGTGTAATTTTAGATTTTTGTGAATGTGATCATGTGAGAGTATGCTTGGACTGAGCGGGTTGGATGTAAAAAACAGATGACATGCACTGACTCAGCAGAAATAAGTAAGTAAGATTAGATTTTGCAGGTTCAGTTAGGTTGATTTAATTTACAGTAAACCCTCAATAACTGGCATTTGATAACTCGGCATGGACATGGTCTCGGAATGTATTAGTATAACTCGAGAAATGCCGAGATATATAAAATTATCTGGGAAAATCTTGGCAAATCTGGCCATCTGCATCAATTACCATGCCTTTGTGTCACCTACCATGCCTCTGTGTCACCTACCATGCCCCTGTGTTACCTACGATGCTTTATTCTTCACCTGCAGTGCTGATAAGTGTTACCTTTTTACATTTAGTAATTACATGTACACATGTAGGGGTCAATAATTTTTATTGTTGTATTATTGTAGGAGAGAAGTGCCTTGATAAGTCGGAATTTGGGATAACTTGACAAGGCCAGAGCCCCATATGAGCCGAGTTATCGAGGGTTTACTGTACATATAAATGATAAATTATAGTATGGCAGCAGCTGGTACCTCTGATCTGTACAAATGGTTCCCTTCATGGGCAATTTTTTTAATAGATTAAACAAATTATTATTTTAGGTTAGGTTAAGTTAGGTATGGTTTGCATTCATTACTTGAAGCTAGAATAAGCCATAATATTTATATCACGCAAAACCTATTACTCGTTCACTTTTCGTCTATGTTCTATGGTGAAATATAATACAGTTGGTAGTTAAGACACAATAATTGTCAGGACTTTGTCAACAACTTTAGATATACTAACTTAACAATAAAAAAGGTTATGGCCTCCACCCCTCTAAGACTTATGCAGATTAAATGCAGTGGATATTTTGCTGTGACTGGCTAAGTTCCTATTAACACTATTTTACCGTGAGTGTGCTCTGATTGGCTAATAGTCCATTACAGGCGAGCAACGCAAGAACTATATTTGACAGTGACTGGAGACATTTAGCATTTATTTTGCCACGAGTTGATCGTTGTGTAGCTATAAACATACCTAAACATATTTCTGTTGTGCATGGAAACTTATCACAATAAGAGGCGACATTAACTAAAACTTAATAGAACCTGGCCAAACCATCCAATGAAACCTAACTAGCCTTACCTAACTTCCCCGTCATATTAAACAGAAAATACTTTGCCAATCAGAGAGCACTCGCGGTAAAATTGCGTTAGTAGGAACTTAGCTGGTCACAGCAAAATATCAACTAAGCAAATTAAAATATACTGTACCTATCTCTAAGCTACAGCAGGAACCCACCACTTAGTACTGCAAAACTTGAATACATTTCATTTATTGGCTCACTTAAATGAGACAATTTCAGGGTTAATTTGTTTAGGTAAAGGTGTAGATAACGGCTACCACCAGAAGTCATTTGTTGATTTTCTTTATTTTTGCTGTACTTATTGTTTTGGTGTTTTTAAGGATATTAAAAGAAACGACAACTTTCTATTATGATTTTAAGGATTTTTTTAAATTTTTTATTTACCCTAAACCTGCTTCACAATTCTCCTCCCGGCGCCATTTTTGTTGTTTACCTCCTTTTTCAAGAGACGTTTCCTATAAATGATGGTGAACGCTTCCATGAATTCCTCCTCGCCCTTGCTGATGTATATCAACCTCAATTATAAGGTAAGTTGTTTAACACATAATTTAACACGATAATGCATAAAACCTAATAGAACCTGACCTAACATACCCAGCCTATGGGTATGTTAGGTCAGGTTCTATTAGGTTCTATGCCTTGTCGTTTCCATTTTTGTATTTAATATCATATTAGTGTGTAGAAAAAAATCAACCAATTCGGACAATTCCTTCTGGTGGTAGCCGTTATCTACACCTTTACCTGTTGTTATTCTGTGAAGCACAACTGTTATAGTCTACTTGCTACTTCTTAATTCAGATTCATTCTTTACATCCTGTCACACCAGAGATCTGTAAAAACGACCCCTCATAGTGAAAACCCCAACGAAAACAAACCACGAATGTTTCCACAATTATTCTGGGCATTTTCTAATTCAAAATTATTTTGCATATACTGTACTGTAGTCAATAAAAATCTTAATTCCTAGCGTATATCTTTGTTATTTCTTTTGTTTTTAAATTTATGAAATGCTCTACATTCATGTTTATTAAATATCTTGACAGGTTACCGAGTCAACCCCAGGAGAAATAAGATGATGACCATCGTGTTAATGCAATGCTCAGTCTCCTTTCCTAGACATATTAAATCAAAGCGTGAGATGTAACGGCGATAATATACTGGCAGAGCAAAAACCTTGGCACGGTCTGGCAGTGTGTAGAGATGACACAGGTATTGACAGTGTACCAACCTTAGCTTCCTCGGACATGGTATATGAGTGGCAGGAGGATGAACGCTGTCCTCTTGGTCCGTTTGTAAACACTAAAACTTCCCCGAGGACGAGACTGCGTAGCTGCGGCTCAAGTTATAGACATAATACATTCCTCTAGGAGAAACTACAAACCAATATATATTGTAAAATCATTACAAAAATTATATCAAATTGATATTTTTTCTACTATTTTTAATTTTTAAAATATCGTTATGCGCATTATACAATTTAAGGTATCGTCATCACAGTACGGAGGTAAGG